AGAGAGAGAGAGAGAGAGAGAGAGAGAGAGAGAGAGAGAGAGAGAGAGAGAGAGAGAGAGAGAGAGAGAGATTTTTTTCCGTGTATGGCGAATGTGGCGACACAAAAAAAAAACTTATTAAAAAAAACCGGCAGTGTGCCAACAACGGCCCCGCCCCCCTGTTCGTCCCTCTCCTCTGCCACAGCGTAGCTGCAGCGGGTCCACTTGTTTTTTTAATGTATAACCTCCAATCCTTTCCTTCAAATTTCCTTTTTTACGGCATGGACTACCAGGGTCATTTTGAATTTCAATTAAAAATGGACTATATCATTCTCTGAGTTTTTGTTTTGATTGCAATATCAAGTCAATTATAAAAGCTGGCAAGACACACAAACTGGCTTACAGACAGCCAAACAGAAAGCAGGCTTGAAGGCAGGGGGCCGGAACGAAATTATGGACTTACACAGCACAAGTGGTTAACGGGGACCCCCACTTTCAGCTCCTTGGTTAATCGGTTCAAAACTGAAATCAGGGTTTGGGGGTCCAATTTTTTGTTTTTAATTTTGCTACTAGTTAGTGTGGTCTCCACTCTATGAATTGGTGGCAAGTTTGGTTAAAACGACCCTTGGGTTTTGTTGTTATAAATAGCATGACAAATTGTCTGAAAATTTAGGCCTCCGCTAACCTGCTCTTGATGGTTGACCGACGGGAAGACTGACGTGGCAGATGGACAGACTGACAGGGGCACGGACAGATGAACGGACAGTCAGACAGCCCCGTGGAGCCCGACAGACAGGCCCATAGACAGACAGACATAGTGATGCATAGACAAAAAAATCATGCAAACAATCCTGCCTGCTGAAACACCAAGTGAAACTCTTGGGACTGCACTAACAGACTGAATATGGTGGGCTGAATTGACGGACTGGCAGGCTAACAGTCGGACGGACAGACTTGACCGACTGATAGATAGTGGACTGAATTGACACACTAACGACTTGCACGGACCCAAACGGATGGATGAATGGAGGGATGCATGGACGGTTGGACAGACGGACACAAAGACAGACATACAGCAAACACAGATGGATGGTCAGACAAACAAGCAGAGACAGTGGCATATGGACAGAAGTCAAAGGGAACACAGACAGGCAGATGGATGGGCGGACAGGCAGGCGGGTGAATGGACGAACAGATGGATGGGCAGACAGATGAGTAGATGGACACGGATATACGGACAGATGCATGGACAGATGAGTAGATGGGCTATGGGGCTAAGTCACAGACAGAAGGACGGACACAAACAGAACCAGACATAGAGGTAGTGTCAATGGGCTAACAAAGACATGCAGGCAGAGCACAGACAGTCAGAAAGACCAATGAACAGAAAGTGACTGGCAGAAGGGTGGGTAAATTATTATTAAAAAAAAAAAAAAAAAAAAAAAAGGCCTGGCCGGGATTTTCGAGCCAGTTAGTTCGGCCTGGAAAGGCCTGGTATTGTCCAGTAGGTAATGATGGTCCAGCGTCTGATGGTCCATCGCCTGGATGTAGATCCAGGGTCTGTAGGTAGATATCAGTCTGCAATGATCTTCCCACCAAAAGTGCGAACACTCGGTAGGACTCGTGGGACCGAGGGAGGCCGGCCAGCCAAAGTATATCATTTGATGAAATGAGTAGCGCGGATTTTCCATTGCTCCAAGCAGTCGTGCTGCTTCTCCGCGTAGAGGGAGAGGTTGGCGGAGCTCCTGGAGGTAAAGGTGCTGCTTGAGGGTAAGGAGAAGATCTCAATGGCTATGGAAAGTAGTGGGAGAGGTAGGAGAATCCCTAGGCTGTGGAGGTAGAGGGATAAGACCTTCCGGCCGGGCGATGTTGATGGACAGAGGTTGGAGGAGGTGGTAACCGGCAAGCAGAGTTACACTCGGCTATGGTGGACTAACATCTTCATCTTCCTGGTTCCCGCTGCATCACAAGCGCCCACCCTCCCTTCTCTCTCTCTCTCTCTCTCTCTCTCTCTCTCTCTCTCTCTCTCTCTCTCTCTCTCGTGATAGCTTCGTCTTTCCAGCACTCCGCAACAGTATGTTTCTCCAGTGCCGATCTCACCAATGTGTCCCTTAAAATCTTTCCTTTGCATGAACTTCTCTTCCTGCTGACATAAGAGGCAGGTTAGACATGCACACACACACACACACACACACACACACACACACACACACACACACACACAGAGAGAGAGAGAGAGAGAGAGAGAGAGAGAGAGAGAGAGAGAGAGAGAGAGATTCTGACCCCTGGTATCCAACCACATACATCATGCACTCACACAGGAGCAATGAAACACTGACCGGAGGAAGAGCAAACGCATGTAAGAAATGTGCCCCAGATTTTGAATGATTTCGGGAGCTTACACCTAGCCCATGTAGCTGTTAATGAACCCATCATTAGTCAAAGCCTGCTGGAATGACGGAATGAGATGGCTACAACAGCATTAAGAAACTACCCCCTTTTGAAAAATTACAAAAAAGAAAAAAGATTTTGGGAGCTTATTGGTTGTCCTTCACTTCTGTGATATGGCATTTCTGAACCTGTGGCAGGACAGTAACCCCTTCTGGATGATGCAAGGCGTAATGGTGTGTGGTCCTTTGGCTTCAACAGAGTACTTGTGGAAAGGCAAGGTATGCTCAGCACCAGTGTTGCATACTTATTACTTACCTCTTTTTTTTTTTTCTTTTTTTTTTTCCACCTACCTTGTGTATTCTTAAAACAAGAAAGGAAAAAAAGTTTGAAAAACAGACCACTTTTTCTTCAATGCTCAGGAAGCCCTTCGTCTTTCATTGTCCCCTTGATATTTGTGTTTACCCTGGCAAAGCCCGCGCTGTCTCCATCTGAGCGCTGGGGTTCCTAAGATGTGGGCATCCACCAGGCCAGCGGACGGCCATCATGGAGTTCGGTCACAAACACTAGCGCTGGGTACACAGACCCAGCCCTAGTGGAAGTACTGTCATGTGAGCCTTGTTGCATGGCATACTTCGGACGCTAACATCTTCGCCTGAACAGAACATACGGTAAGGTTGCATACTCGCCGACGTGGACCGCCGACCCTTTTGGAGCCTACCAGTAGGGCCGAGCGGTTGGCGGTCTACCGACCAGTCTGTAGAGGGCCATTTACTGTTTTTTATTCCAAATCCGAGGTTGGAGCTGTATTCCGAGAATTCAGACATCTTGACCCAGACGTAACTTCCTAATTCAATATCCGAAGGTCGGCGCTTCTTGTTCGCATGGTGGATCATTGCGTGCTGTCGCTTGGTCATTGCTGCGATGACAACTTTGAGCAGGCGATCTTACTTGCCCTGAAGCCAGGCCTGCCGGGTGTTAAACCAGCTGGCTGTTGAGGGAAGGTGTAGGAGAGCGGATTTCGAATCTGCCAACCGTAATGCAGCCTGTTTGGCGTCATGCCGGTGGCAGAATGGATGGAGTTGTTGTACAACCCCTTGACGGAATACAGCTCTTCATCTCATGTCTCTTGATCCGGAATGATTAAAGCGCGGAGAAGTTGAAACACGGTCTGGTTGATTTCCTCAGCCAAACCATTGGCTTCGGCACGTCGCCCAGATGCCATGCATAGTTTGAGGCCAGGGAGTTGGGACATGAAGTCCTTCCATTCGGTATTTATGAAGCGCGGGTTCCAATCGCTCACAAGAGTTTTCGGGGTTCTGAACTGCAGAATGTACTTCTGTTTGAACTCATGGATCACCAATTCAGCTGGGGCATGAGATGGCAAAGGAATCAGATTCAGAAATTTAGAGAAGCGGTCAAAAATCACCATGAGTTGCGAATAGCCATTCGACGGAGACGGACTCCCCGGGTCCATCGGGAATGCGAAGGGGTGTGAGTAGCCCCATGGGCTTTCACCGCTTCTCTAAATTTATGAATCTGATTCCTTTGCCATCTCATGCCCCAACTGAATTGGTGATCCATGAGTTCAAACAGAAGTACATTCTGCAGTTCGGAACCCCGAAAACTCTTGTGAGCGATTGGAACCCGCGCTTCATAAATACCGAATGGAAGGACTTCATGTCCCAACTCGCTGGCCTCAAACTATGCATGGCATCTGGGCGACATGCCGAAGCCAATGGTTTGGCTGAGGAAATCAACCAGACCGTGTTTCAACTTCTCCGCGCTTTAATCATTCCGGATCAAGAGACTGAGATGAAGAGCTGTATTCCGTCAAGTGGTTGTTGGTTTGATTCGTTGACAGACTTGACATTTAGCCACAAACTTTTCAGCCGATCCTTTCATACCGGGCCAATCAAACTGTCTTAGTAGGTTTCCGTACGTCTTTGCCATGCCGAAGTGCGCGCTCCGACCATGAGCCAAGTCCAAGAACTGCGTGCGGAAAAGCTCATGGTTGGGTACACACAAACGGTCGTGATTCCCATAACGTCGGGAAACCAGTCTTCCATATTCATGAAAATCAGGCTGACTGCTAGAGTCAACCTGTAACTGCTCAAGGATGGGACTAAGGTCCGGGTCCTCGACAGTATGTTCTACGATCTCCTCCTCCAGTATGTTCTACGATCTCCTCCTCCAATTTCTTTCGAAGGTCGTAGGAACCCACAAGGCAAGTCATGTACTCAGGGTGGCGAGACAACGCATCAGCAACTCGGTCATAACAACCTTTTTTATGTCTTAGTTCAAAATAAAAAATGTCAATCTCATGGAACCAGCGCAGTAGAGTAGGGGAAAAAGTGGTTTGTTGTTTGATCCACTTCAAGGTATCATGATCCGGGAACACTTGAATTGGCGTCCCAAAAGATAGTGCTTCCAGTGATCCAGAGCCATACGCAAAGCATAGAGCTCGCACATGTAAATGAAAGTAACTACCTTTTCGTTGGGCATGTGTTTGTTGTAGTACTCGAGCGGTCGCAAGCCATCGTCGTCATCTTGTTGCAGCACTGCTCCGATCCCGTATTGGCTAGCATCCGTAGTGACTACGAATGTTAGTTTGGAATCTACAATGCGGAGTACAGGGTAACTTACCAAGACCTCTTTTAAGGCTTGAAATGTGGTCTCACATGTTGCATCCCATGCGTAAGGTACATTCTTACTAGTCATTCGGGACAACGGGCGAGCAACAATAGAGAATTGAGGTACAAATTTTCCAAGGAAAGAACGTCGTTCGTGAATATTCGCAGGTTGTGGTCAGTCACGTATGACTTCAAGCTTGGTTGCCTTAGGCTCGAGGCCTGCAGCAGGCAACCGATGCCCAAGATAGATGACGCTATCCCTCCCAAACTTGGATTTCTCTAAGGTGAGATGGAGTTGCGTTTTCTTGAGGATGGTGCACACTTCCTCAAGGTGCTTCATGTGTTCCTCGATAGATTTACTGAAGATTAGAATATCATCGAGATACACTACCACAAACCGATCAATCTGTTCGCGGAGGACCTTGTCCATGAGGCTTTGAAAGGTGGCTAGTGCGTTCGTGAGGCCGAAGGGCATTACGGTAAATTCGTAAAGCCCATCACATGTCTTGAACGCAGTTTCGTGCTGGTCCGCCGGAGTCGACTTCAATCCGGTGGTAGCCAGACTTGAGATCGATCTTGGAGAAAACCTTGCACCCACCAGCAGCATCGAGCAAGTCATCTATGCGTGGCAATGGATATGCATTCTTTCTCGTGATGCGGTTTAGACTGCGATAATCAATACACACAAGGAGTTTGCCTCCTTTCTTAGGGACAAACAAAACAGGTGCACCAAATTCTGATTCACTAGGTTTGATCCAACCCTTATCGATCATCTTGTCGATTTTTCTCCGGAGTTTCTCCAACTCGTCGAGTTCCATTCGGTACACGCAGCCCTTTGGAGGAACAACACCTTCGACCAACTCGATTGTGTGTCGGACCGATCGCGTGGGGACTCCACGTGGTTCAACCAAAACTTTGGAGAACCGGTCAAGTAGGTTTTGAATGCTTGTTGGGATTGGTGGGGGCGAAGGATCAACAAATGGATCACCTAGATCAGGTCGCAGGTTACGAATGGAAGCGACCGAATTTGAAGTAGAATCATTTCGGACTAGTAGAAGGTAGAGAAGTAGAAATATTAGAAGTAGACTCATTAGATGAAGTAGGATTGGTACTAACCGCAAAAGTAGATGGCACATGCGTAGGGCGAGCAGAGGCAACATACATTTGTTCATCCTCTTTGTGCTTGTGCCACTTTTTGCAGAACTGCATGACATTGAGAAAAATCACTGGGGACTCGCGCTTCTCATCCAAAAGGACGTGAAGCTCGTTCCCTTAAGCATCTCTCACCATGAAAAGTGACTCCTTCCACCTGGTCCATTCGCATTGGGACTGCAACCAACCCAATCCAAGGACTGCGTCAAAGGGACACTTGTTAAGGACATAGAAGTTCAGTGCATGGGTAATTGTCTTTTCCTTGTCAAAGGTAGTGCGCACACCTTTGACTACATGCGTAGATGAGACAACTTCCTGGTTGCCTACTTGAGTTAGGCAAGGGTTCTGCAAAGCCACTTGCTTCATCCCCAAACCCACTTTGCGTATCCCGTGTGGTGACATACAGTTAGTTGTTGCACCGCAGTCAATCAATACACGGAGATAGCGGTGGCTTATGAGAAGCTTGAAAAAGATTAACTTCACTGTCACTTGAGCACGCTGATGTTTCATCTCAGCCCAGTGCTCTAAGTGCTAGTGGAAGTCGACCGTCTCGGACTTCTCCCAAGGCTCAACATACAAAGCATGACAAACTTCAGCCTTGGAATCAGCAGATGACGGGGCTTCAAGAGAGGATTGCTGAACTGCATCAGAATTCAGTCTCCCTTGCCGTAGAGGGTGTTGAGGCCAACTCTACGCCCGATTCTGGTTTCCCTGCAACCTATAGCAATCTTGTACTTTATGGTTCTAGCCTTCCATTCAGCCTCACTGATCCGAAGGTCTACCCAAGGTTTAGTAGTTGCATCCTCCAGTTTGGCTGGGATTTTGGCTCCCTTTGGAACTGCGACAAATCTCCTTACTGAATTCCTATTTTGGTTTCCCTTCCCATGGCCAGTTTTTTTAAAGGCACATAATTTATCATCATCATTATTTATGCCAACTTCTTAAGTTGAAGAGCAGGCTGTATCAGCGTCTTGCTCTTGGTCGTCGCCAAGAGTGGGGTCGTCTGCTTCGGCCTCCCCTTCCCTTTCCAGCAAGTCAAGCGAAGCTAAGCAATTGCTGCCACGAAATCGCCCGCGAACAAAGGTCTTTTTGCTGCTTGCTGCGGTAAGGAGGTCTCCAGCCTCCAGACTGACTGCATCCTTCATTAAGGAGAACCAGTCAGTATAACCGAAGAAATCCCTGCCTAAACTACATCTAAGCATGATTGCGTAGTCAGCTCCAATCTTGGCATTGCAAAGAGCTTGCTGACATGCAATTGTAATTTATGCATGGTGCCCTGCCACTTGTTGCGTTTGAGTTCATCATGTTGTATCCTTACTCTTGCAGCAGCATGCGGGTCCTTATATTGTGCTACAAGTATATCCTCAAGAGTGGTGACCGGCGTGACTTTGAGCCACTCGGATAGGTTGGTCTTTGCATACCCAGGTTGGTCTCATGAAGTCCTCTCAACTTGTCGCATGAAGTCCTCTTGATGTGTCTCGCCACCACTTACATAC